GACGCCCCTTTTGCAGTTTATATTCAATTCAATCCAATGGTTTCCGTGTCAAGAGCTTTTCTTTGTTTTAACAATGAATTTCCTTTTCAGTGGATGCCTTTGTCTCCTTTTAAGAACTGACACGTCTCTACGGCCTCACTCCAGAAAATAATCCGATTCCGCTCAATATCCGACGAGAGTGAAACGGACATTCGCAGCGACACAACTCACCAAAGTCTTTCATCGCTTTGTAGTTCCTCAGGATATTCTCGAAGCGATTCTTCTCGATCTCCGGGAAGGAGAGCCATTCCTCCGTCGAAAACAGTTGCTTTGCGTCCTCAGCCATCGCCCTTTTGCGGCCGAGAAGTCTGAATGTTCCCCGAACCCAGCGTCGAATGGTCGAACGGATGCCGAGGCTGTCAGACTGAGCTGATTTGCGCGGGTCCTGGGCCTGCCTGGGGCCGTGACGTCATCATGACGTTTTGTTTTGGTCACAACCATGAATTCTAGTCTTCATAAGCATATTTTTATCTTTAATTGTGATAAAATAAAGCAATTAGACCAAGAAGCCCCTCGTCATAAGATACGCCTTGTTTTTGTTGTTGAAGAAGTTTAGGCCGCTCAGCTGCGAGAGCATGACGTCACGACCAAACCGTTCGCGAGAATCCGCCTTAATAAGATTTCCCGCCAAAAATCATCGCGTTCATGATCGCTTTTACATTCAAAGAAGCGAGTCGTTACTTGAACTGGGATTTACTGATATTTTCTGTCATCAGAACAAAACAAGGGAAATTACAAACTACGTCTGTACGACTACAAAAAGAGCCCAACGCTATCAAAAATATATAAAGGCGTGAGGCAGGGCAGCCCAGCTGACTATTTCGTAACGCTTTAGTCTTTTGTTTATAGTTTTGCAGACCTTCTTTGGTCATTCTTGAATTCCAAATCTATGTTAAAGGAAATTTTTATCAGAAACGCGATTACTGTCTAAATATTTCACATAATTCAACCTATTTAAGTAAAAGTAAAGGCACGACAGGGTTAACCTAAATGCTACTCTTCACAGATGTGATTTTTACCTCATATTTATCTATTCGGTGTCTATAATAGATGATTAATTACAATGATTAATATTAGGTTTGTAATATATGCGACCACATGTTTATTAACTAAAATATATGTTAATGCTAAAATGTCATTTTATTCAAGCCAAGCATCGTTATTTCAAACAATATATGTATTACATTGTATATTTTAGATATTGATAAAGGCGGTACTATCTTTCTTTAGATAACTATGATGTTTAGTTTACAATTGATTTCATGTCCAGTTTTCTTTCTCATTCATGTTCAGTATATAATTATACTGACAAAAGAATCCACTTTAATACTCAGTTGTCCGTTAAATGTTTAGATTTTATGTTTTTTTCATGTTATTCTTTTATTTGTTTATTTACTTATTTTTGTTTCTTATCTAAGAAACTACACGAGGAATTAAGGTTAGCCAAACTTTTATTATTTTACTGTTTTGACTTATGCATTGATTCATTTTTTCTGCGTCTTTTTAGCTAAAGTAACAGAAACATTCGTGAATAGCCAATAACCTTCAAGGCAAAGGCTACTAAATTATAGGCTTTAATTTCTTGCTGCCGTATATGTATCGAACTATTGCAATGTTTCCGCTTTCTGTTTTTATTTTCCTTTTACGGTAATTTGGCAGATTATGACTATCCATAATATTATATATTATATATATATAATATATATTATATTATATATATTATGTATGATGTATATGTATACATATATTATACTTATTCGTACATATATATTCATCTATCTATAATATATAACATATTATGTAATGTATTTGCACATATACATACATACACACATACACACACACACACACACAATATATATATACATATACATATACATATGAATTGGTAACACATACACACGCGCACACACACACACACACACACACACACACACACACACACACACACACACACATATATATAATAAATATATAATATATATAATATTATATAACACATATATAATATAACATATTATATATATATATATATATATATATATATATAATATATAT